ACCAAGCCTCAATTCCGACCAGCGTCGTTCTGGCCTCATTCATTTGCAAACCACTGGGACCAAGGACATCAACAGATAGCAGCCAAGCCCCAATCATCACCATAGTTGTAGTTCCAATCATCCAGCTCCTCTAGGCACTGGTTGCATCAACCGACAATATTCCTTCTCAACCCTACTCCAACAAGACTTACCGTGGTAGAGCCACCATCTCCACCGCCGTTGTTCCCTATTTCCACCCTACAGGCTAGCCCCTTCGCCGGAGAGCGCATTATTTCCAACCATCGCAACCAACACAACCCACTGCAACCAACACCCAAAACTCAAACAAGGATTATGCATGCCAATTGACATTAGGAACAGTTGGGGTTGTTGGTAATATGAATTTTTTTTATTTGAGACAAACTCTTGAAGCTTTTTATATTTGAGACAAACTCTTGAAGCTTTCTATATTTAAGACAAACTCTTAGCGATCAAGGTTTAGGCATCTGGGGTACGAAATAGGGGAACCGAGGGAGGGGGAGAAAAGAGAAACCACGTAAGAGAGTTTTCCTCTCCCTATGGATAGGGTCCTTCCTCATACTACCTACAACCCTTCAGAGGTGAAAAGCTATATGTCCTCGACCATACTGTGCCAGTGTGCCTCGCCACACCCTCGACCCGAAGCCAGGCCCACCCCTCCGATATTGCACACAGATTGTGAATACAAAGTTCAACTTGGGAGGTTGGATGCTACACGCTGCTCGTCTTCCTTCGTTTCTCTGTCTATCTCCTTCAACACCACTCCACAACCCTCATCGTTCCCTTACTGCGAGATGTTCTGTTGTATTGTCGTGAAGAAGTCCAAAGGTCCCATGTAGAACATACGAGAAGATACCGTTGTACTTGAGCAACTGCGTCGCGCTAAGCGTAAGGACAACCATATTGAAAAGCCTACCTCGACCGCCTCTTCAACCCTCCTTCCTTCACCTGAACCCAACCCCACTGCCATCGGAAGAGAGATCCCAGGCCTCTCCCCACCCGCTAGGTACGAAGGCATCAACTGCCCTTCACTCCAACAAAACAAGGCTAGCGGCACGAAGGCACCTACGACCATCCACGACACAACGAACCAATGGATGGTATGGTATGGCCACACCTCGTCGAGCCCGTCGGCAAGTCGCCATAGGAGATTCAAGTGTTCGAAAGAAGCACCCATCAACAACATAGAGCAGCAAGTTGAAGAAGAGGGGAGGAAAACCAACTTATACCGCCGCAATCCTCACGCACCACCATCGCCACGAATAGCTAGCTCTGCCTCGTGACTTCCAGCACACCATTGCATCGCCGCCATGTTTTTTGCCGGAGCGGCAGCCGCGTGACCTCCAACGCACAGTGTATCCCCGCCAAATTCTTTCGCTGGGCCGGCAGCGTTGCGCCCCCCGTAGCGTCGTGTCGCCGGCCCTCCGCCAAGGCCGCATCCCTCAACTCAGTCCAACAATATTTTCGCGAGTATCCTTTCCGTTGAACTCGATACTCCAACAGTACCCATATCTACAAGTCGTTGTTTCCAAATAAGATTGTTTGTTAACATTTCTTCTACTTCGTCTATACGAAAAGCAAATTGTTGTGAAAATAGAAAAAGATCTATGGGGGAAGTATGTTTATGTCACATGGGAGTTTGTAATGGGCACAAAAAACAGCCTTCGGCGTTTGTGTCAGGGCCTGAGTTCGAAAAGGCGTTCGTAACTCAAGGTCGGCAGTGGTGTCAGGGCGGAGTTCGAAAAGGCGTTTTTTTTTTTTTTTTTTTTTTTCCCTTCCTCTTCGGTCGCGCCGTGCCGCGCCTGCAAGGACAAAAAAAAAGTTTTTTTTTTTTGTTTTGTTTGTTGTTGTTGTTGTTGTCGGT